AAAGCAAGCTAGCATTTATACCTTCAAACAATAATTTTGTTTCTGTCTGAGCCTCTGGTATCGAAAAAATTCTCACTCGTTACGGAGAAAGGATATTCTTGCAAGAAGAGGCATCAGATTCATCGTGCAGAAATACCCCCAAAAGGAGATTTGCTGAGCAATCACATGCGGGGAAATCAAATCTGATGATAGTGGCAATGGGGAGATCTATGAATTGACACTTATGATGATCAGCCCATAGAGGTCAAACCTGCACCTGAATAACTTGAAGATGGTGGAAAAGCGGCCACTATATACGAGCTAAAGGAAGTCAACTTAGGGACTGAAGAGAATCCTCGCCCAACCTTCAATAGTTCCCTTTTACCTGATAAGCAAATAGAAAAAAATAAAAGAACTCTATGAATTCAGGAACTGTATTGCCTAAACATACACTGAAATGCCCAACTTACCCCCTAATGTAGCAGTTCATATATTGGTTATAAAGATTAAAGCCTACCTCTGAGATTTTTGACAAATTTCTTCATGCACCGAAGAGGTGGGAAGAGCTGGGTTGTTCTTATGTTCAATTCTCTTATGAGTTTTTCATTCAAACTCTGACTTCGCCAACATAGATTAATTGAAGTTCAACCTCTTTAACTCAAGAAGATCGACATCTCCTACATCGCTAAGGTAATTACCCCCAATAGTTGCCAAGCAATTTTTAAAAACAGAATTTGCCATTGATTTCGACGGAGGAGGATTTAAAAATTTCTAGGGCTACAAAATAACAGCCTAGAAAACTTAAAACTACTATAAAATAACAGTGTATTGATAAAACGGAATTTGCTATTATTTTTATTCGCCAAGCAATTTTAAGTATTTCCTTTCTACGGAGGAGGCTTTAAAAATTTTCTTAGCGACTATTTTTATTCGCTAAGCAGTTTTAAGTATTTCCTTTCGACATTACAGATCGGAAACTCAATTGCAGCTGCAACGCCTCCTTTGTCAACATTAGCTTTGCAAACCGACAGATCTCCTCTAGAAACCACGTGAGGCGGAGTAAACCGAGTCGTGTCGGGTTGATCCGGACCCGAGGCGGGTCGAGTTCGGGTCTTAAAATCTAACCCATTTTTAAAAATGGGCCGGGTTCAGGCTAGATCAAATGGTGTCGGTTCAATTTCAGGTTGGACCCGAAATCTGATTTTGATAGCCCTAATGTTGGAGAATAAGGAGAAGGTAATGAAATGAAATGCAAAGGTATGTCCTAAAATTATGGAAATTGTCAGAAAGAATATGCAAGAAGCAAATTCTTATATTAGGTATAGATCTGATCATGGCAATTATAAAATAAGTACAATGCATGGAGTTCATTACAAAGTTGACTTGAACTTAAAAACATGTAGTTCTAGGAATTGGGAGTTAAGTGGAATATCGTGTGAACATGTCTATGATATAATTCATCGTTACTATGTAGTTCTAGGAGTTGGGATTATAGGTGATTGTGAGTGTTATATTCATTGTTACTACATAATGAAAAATTACATGAGAAGTTATGAGTGTAACATTAAGCCTTTAAATTGGGCTGATGAGAGGCCAAAGAGCGATAGGATTCTAATATTGCCACCAATAGACAATAAACCGAAGAGGGATAGGCCACTAAAGATGTAAAAAGAGCTATCAATGAACAACTATTACATTTAAAATAAAAAAATTATGTAGAGTCAATGTGAAGCTTCATTGTACTAGATGCAGACAGAGTGGACACAATAGCATCACTTGTGAAAAGATGATGCATATTGCAGAGAAACAGAGATAGGTCAAAAAGTTATACAACCATTGGCTAAAATGCTAGGTCATGTAATTCCATCAGTTTCGCTTACTTAGTTAACTATTTTGATTTTAAAATGATACTTCTAAAACTTGTGCTCGGTTCAGTTGGAGAGGCAAACACAGCGCACATCAATTTTGTGAACTCTTACATAAAACTTTTGACAAATAAATTAAAATTTTTACTTCCAAGGTTTACTTTATATTTTCTATTGTGAATTTAACTAAAGTTTCTTCCTTTTGTAGGGGTACCTCTGAGAGAAAAAAGAGTTAATTGACTAAAATATTCATGCTTCAGATCTTAAAAATTGTATGTATGGTGTGGACAATAACAGTACATAGAGCTCCACATTTAATATTTATTTCAACTTTTGAATGTAATGAGAAAAAATGGAAAGATTTGCATAAATATTATGTTCTGTAACAACAAAAGAGTATTTCATTATGTTGTCTTATTATATATTCAATAAAATGGATGAATTTTTAGCTTTATTTAATGTATTATTATGAAGAACTTTTAAATCTAATGAACTTTTATTCAATGGAATGTTCATTGGATTCTAAAACCTGGACCGGCCTAACAATCGCATAAGCTGACCTCTTATTTTCCAATGTCTATTACATTAAAAACTTCATTGGATTCTAAAACCAATAACATCTCTTTGTATGAGCCTTTCAAGGCCTTACAAAATCTAGCAATTTTTCAGAAAATTAAAAAACTTAAAAAATATAATAAATAAGATTATAATTATTAGAAAAAACAAAACAAGTAAAAACTACCTGGGCTTTAAACTAACCCTACATTTTTTGTATTTGAGAGTTGCTTGAAATGATAGTACAATTCAAGAAAAAAAGGCTCAGTTTGCACAAACCTTCATGAGAAATTAATCACTGTTTCAACTTAAATTTTTTACATTTCTCTAATCTAGTCATTAGCCCAGCAAAATTATTTAACAGAGCCATTGAAAAATAACACCAACATTTCTTGGTAATTCAGTTAAAATTTTCAACTATATTTCCTTCGATTACACAAATGCTTAGTTACAAACATTGCAAAATGATCTGCTACACCTAAATTATCAAACCATCTAATAAAGTTTAAGTAAGTATTTGGAGCATTTTTACATTTATGCAATCTTCTTAAAGTTTCTCTTAATGGTATAAACATTATGTCTAATAAATAGAGGGCAAGGTAATTCACCTGAATTCTTTTATTTTTTCTTATGTCAACTTCTACTTGTTCGTATTTTAGCTAAATTTTTTTTTGAAAAATTATAATTACTTTAGAATTATAGCTAACAAATAACTTAATTAAAAAATTTCAAAAGTACACCTAATTTTAACACCATTAAGTCCAACATCCATTAGTTTGGATGGTGAGATTATTTTAATATTTTTTAAAGAATTAAGAGATCAAAATAATCCTTTAATATAGTTGTGGATTATTTTGATTCTTCTTAAAAAGTCAAGGACTATTTTGGTCCTTTTCTCATAAGAAAATAACTAGATTGAAAATTCTTATCTTTGGAAATTAATAGGTTGAGTAATGTAGTATTATTATGCTTTATATCTTCCTCATTGAGGCTATTCCATCTTTAGATTTCTTCCATTTATAGGTGTATTGTATGCTATATATAAGAACCTAGTCTCAACCAATAATAGACAAATATTCTCTCTTCCAACAGGTACATTCAATAAAGTTAGAAAATATTAAAAATAAGATATTTAACATTGATTGAATGATTTAATCATGCAATATATAAGATATAATATGTGCAATGCTCATACAACACTCAGTTTGCACTCTATTACAACAAGCATTGTACATTGGCTTGCCGACATGGTCACCAGCTAAGATTTTTCCACAAACATAAAAACGTTCATAGGAATAGAAACCTTCAAAATTATCATAATCCCCTTACTTTTTTTTTCTTTTTTTTTTTTTTTTTTTTTTTTTTTTTTTAATAACCCTTTTTTTTTTTTTTTTTTTTGACTTCATTGATGAACACCTTGATCATCACAAGGATATAAGTTCCCAGCTATTTAAATCCAATCTATGTTACTAAAGAAGTTGAATATACCATTCATAATCACTCTCTTGATAAGCAAAATCATCCAAGGTCATTCCCTCAATATAAGCATGGACTTCAACATTCTTGAGAAATTGATGACTCAAAACTTAAGCCTAGCATTTAATCAAACCTTGAGTTCAAGAAACTCATAATTGCTAAAGCAAGTTTATTCAAGCCTTCTCATATCATGATCTCTGCAGAATGATCAAGATGAATCGGATTGCTAGAGTAAGACAAAGGTTGAATACATGGAACAAGGGATCCTCACTAATCCAAGATAAGAGTATCATTCAATGCTTGGGTGATAGCTAGCATGGTCAATTTTTTTAAATAGTAATTTTAAGAGTTTTAGGTATGTACAAGATATGGAACCAAACATGATTATTTGCATATTATGAAATCACATTTCTAAAGTTAAATGCTTGGCCTACTGATTATATTTTTAAAAAGTGGTCCATTATTTTCTTATTGATTCACCATATAATAGTGTTGTTTAATTGGCCATATATTCACTTTATTTATTTGCTTCATTTAAGATTTGGAAGTTTGTTTTTTTAAATAGTCTTTCAACATAATCTTTTTATGTAAACGTTTTATTATTTACTGAAAATTTTGACCTAATAATTATAGCTTTGCAATAGGTGTTGAAAGATATATTATAAATCATCCTTCAAGATATATCTAAACACTGCCAATATATTTCATCAATGCATCTGTTGAAATGTTTCATGTTGTATTTACTCAACGTTTCACATAAATTCCTTATTTAGTCAAATCCCTTAACCACAATAAGTTTACCATGGATAGCAATCTTTTTGGGATATGTAAGCTATTAGTCTGGAATCTTGGGGGAATTATTGCTTCATGTAAGTGATGGGTTAAATTATAGAATTTAAAACAATCAAAAGAGAGCAACAATCAAAAACCCCACAACCGGAAGACACCAAAAACTGATAAAAGTATGATCGATGACAGATTGTTAAACAAAGCCAAATATAAAAAGCCGTTTTCCCCCAGAAATTCATCAAATTCAAAAGGCCAATTACGAAACATTCCAACCCCCAAACCATAAAACCTAGTCCAGCAAAACACACGCTGACCAAAACAATAGATCCAACTCACCTATTGCTGGTATCCGCCACCCCGGGCGTTATAATCCTCCTCAACGATCTCCGTGAGATAAACTGGAGGAAAATCGGTCGTGACATCAAATTTCTTCTCGGCCATCATCCTCTCAACATCGGCCTTCTTGAGGACGGTACGACGAACGGGAGGGCGGTCACGGCGGCGATCACGCGTGTAGTATTTGATGTCGTAAACAGTTTGCGGATCAGATGTGGGAACTATGGCCTTCGCCGGAGGTGTTGCCGGGCAGAAGCGACGGTACTCGAGAGCACCCGGTACTGCGTTTCTGTACTCCGGATCGGCGCATGGGCCAGTAATCTCCCATGGTTTTTTAAAGAAGCGTTTCAACGACTGCAAAATCGATTTTGCTGCTGCGGAGGAGGAGGAGGCAGCGGACGCCATTAGAAGAGAAGAGAGAGGGATTGCGAAATGCCAGCAAATGATTTAGGGTCGAGCTCTTGAGAGGTTCAATATCCGCTTGAGTCGAATCTTCTTCAATTTTGGCACAATTTCATCTATATTTCATTTAAATATTTTTTATTGAAAAAATTAGGAACAAATATGTCCATTTTCATTAAAAAATATATTACAAAAGAATTATAAAACTTGCAAGAAAAATGATAAAAAAAAAACTTACAAAAAAATGTAAATAGAAGGAAATAAAAAGTCCCATAGAAGGGACAATAAAAAATGAACAAAAAGATAGAAAAAATAAAAACTAATCACAATTCTTAAAGAAACTACCAATAATCTTGAAAAAATAACTCCAGCCAAAAAGACAAAAGTCATAGCAATCAACTATGGAGACAAAACTAAAGCTGGAGAACATCCAACTCAATATCTCCCTACGACATCCAGGTACGTGAATGGTAACTCAAAGAGAAAAGGTTGTCTACCATTCAAAAGATAATCCAGAATAGCCTTGAACATTAACAGGAACATCGAGCTAACCATCCTACACCAACAATCCAAGCTAGTAGGAGCAAAGCCAATCTATCAAACAGCAAAAGTCAGTCAAAAGATAATCCAGGACAGCCTTGAACATCAACAGGAACATAGAGCCAACCATCCTACACCATCAAACCAGGCTAGCAGAAGCAAAGACAAACCTAAAAAAGCCACCTACAATAAAACCAAAAAATAAATACTAGCCTATCATCGAAATTAAGCAGCAAATAACAGCCAAGAGCTCCATAAACGCCACTCGACAACAAAAAAAGCCCCTAGGCCAACTAAAGAAGAGACTGCCATTATTGCCCATCTTGATTTAAAATTAGTTGACAATAACAAAGCAATCCCCAAAACAAAATACCTAAAAAATTTGAACTAAAGGAACCACAACAACCCACCAGACAAATCCATCAAACCAAAAAGCTTTTAACCTCATTAAAGGAATTCCAACGAGAAACCTTAGCATAAACAGCCTGATGAATCAACCTATAAATTAAATTCACACTTAAGCACTAACCATAAAAACTCCTCTCATTCCACTCTCTCCAAATAAAATACAAAAAACAACAAAAGGATAAATAGAAGAAATTCTTAGCATTAGAAGACACGTTAAGATCTGAAATAAAATCAAATACTTGCAAAAGATTAGGCCTAAGAAAATAATGAGCAAGACTATGAATAAATAAAGATAAAAATTGAAAAGAATAATCACAATAAAAAATAAGTGACTATGAGTCTTCAATTCATAATTACAAAAGACGCAACCTGAAGGAATAAAGATATTCCTTTTAAATAAAATATATGCATTATTGAAACCATTAAGTATGGCCTTCCAAGCATAGTAAGAATGTCTCAATGCATACTGCTTATGCCAAATAAATTTAAACCAAGAAACCTTTGCATATCAATCATAAAATCTAGATAAAATAGCTTGAACTTAGGATATAATTCTTCATTCCACTTAACATATGAAGAAGAATTTCTCTTAATAGAATTAGAATATATAGAATTGTACAAAAATTTTAAGCAATTCAGTATAGACCATATGTTTTCCACAATAATATCTTTCACCTGAATAGAATGCCAATAAGAGTTTATAGTAGGAAATAAATCATGAATAAACTTGCCATCAATTCAAGGATCTCAGTAAAACAATAAACTGCTATCAGCTGTGATAATAAAAGAAATATTTTCCTTAAGAGCCACAGCCTTTTTGCATAAGCTTTTCCAAAAAGAAGAAGCCTTAGAAGGGGGTGGCTTCCATAAAGAGAAATATTTCTCCTTAACCCAAGCAGCTAACAAACAATTATTATTTAAAATTCTCCGAATAATAGAACAATTAAAAGCAAAGTAAAGAGCATTAATATCAGGAATACCTAAACCCCTATAACCTTTTGGCTTACAAACATCCTTCCAAGAAATTGTATGTAATTTCTTAGAATGAATATTACCATGAAATAGAAAATTAGAGTAGCATTTTCTAATAAACTTGATATCAAATTTAAGTATAATCATCCCTCTGATCCAATAAGCAATATAGTTTGAGATAGTAAATTTTAAAAATTGAACTCTACCGGTCAAAGATAAAATTTTAGCCTTCCAACCCAAAAGTAAATCAATAACCTTATGAAACAGTGGTTGGAAGTCATATCCCACTAAGCCTCTTTATATAAATTGGAATGCCCAGATAAAAATTCTGAGAAGAAGAAAATTATGAACATGACAAATTTGATCTTTCTCATAAGCATATTTGAAAAATAAAACCAAACTTTTTTATGATTAATATAAAGATCAGAACACTTAGAGTAATAATCCAAAATATCCTGAAGCATCTATGTATTATTAAGTGATGTTTTACCAAAAATCAACACATCATTCGCATATAATAAATGGGAAATGAGAAAATTTCCCATTTTAAAGCACTCAAAATGAGATCCTTGAAATATGTTATCAATCAAGTTAGATAAAGCATCCATAACAATACAAAATAAGTATGGAGATAATGGACAACCTTGTTGAGTACCAGAGGAAGAATTAAAAAATACTTCCCAAAAGCCATTAATAATAATAGAGAAATAAGTATTCTTAATACATCCTTTAATCCATATGGTAAATTTATCAGGAAAATCTTTTTGAGCCATTCTCTTTAATAAAAACTCTCTAGAGAATGTATCAAAAACTTTTTGATTGTCCAATTTTGCACAAAAATATTTAATTCTGCCAATATTAAAATATCTCAAAATTTTAGAAGCTAAAAAAATATTATCAGTATAATTCATTTTCTTGATAAACCCAAATTGGCTAGAATGAATAATATGAGGCATGATACTTTGCAAACGATTAGCCAAAATCTTAGCCACGAACTTATAAAAAATATTACATAATAAAATCGGTCTATAATTAGAAATTTGTGAAGCATGGGAGCATTTAGGAATAAGTACAATAGCAATAGCTTTAACAGCTCTAGACATATTACCATATTCAAAATAATGCAAAATAGCATTATAAAAAGAAGTGCCAATAATATCCTAAGTATTTTTAAAAAATTCAAAAGTAAAGCCATCTGACCTAGGAGTAGAAGAAGAAGAGGCAGAAAAATGACCATTTTAATCTCATCCAAAGAAATAAGAGAAATGAGACTAGAAATAGCATAAGTTGGAATAGAATTGCCCATAGGAATATCAAAATTTAAAGCAAGAGACAACACGGGAGAGTTAAACAGACCTTTAAAATGCTGAACAAAATAATTAGAAACATCTTGAAAGTCAGAAATTAAACTAGAAGAAGCATGAATATCTTTAATAAGATTATGATTGGCTACTATGAATTATAAAAAAAAAAACCAAATTATCATCACCATTAGCCAATCATCTAGCTTTAGATCTCTGAATAAGCCAAGAAGTCTATAAAGATTGATAATGAATAATAAGAGAATTAACTTCTTTATGCTCAAAATTTAAATTATAATCCAAAGCATTATGCTAAAGCTCAAGTAAAAGGTTGTTTTGAGGGCAATGTAAATCATCTAGCTTCTTAGAAATAAAATTAGAAGAACCCCAAGATTGCCTTTTAATTAAACCTTTAAAATTAAACAGATGATTAAAAATATCATAAATCGGGCTACTATTAGATGGCAAAGAAAAACTTCAATAAGCAAATCCCAAAAAGTAGGATTATAACACCAATAATTCTTAAAAATGAAACGATGCTTTAAACTAGTCAAATTACAATTACACAAGATCAAAGGACAATGATCAGAGCATTTGGGATTATCCACAATATAATAAGAAACAAGAAGAACTTCAAGTCATTGATTGTTAACCAAGATTCTTTCAAGCTTTATATGAATAGGACAATCACTCCTTTGATTGAACCACATGTAGAAAAACCCAACATAAGAAAGATCTTGCACCCCTATATTAAAAATGAGATTATTAAAATCCCCAAGCTTGCTATTAGGAATAATATTCCCTCCCGCTTTTTCATTAGAAAATCTATAGTAGTTAAATGTCACCAAGCAACACCCAAGTAGAAGAAATGTTCTTAGACAAATGAAGAATATTGTTTCATAAGATATGCCGCTCACCTGAATTATTAGAAGCATAAACCATAGTTAGATAAATAGAAAAGCAGAACCCATATTTAAGTGACCATCAATCAACTTCTTAGTAAAAAAAAGTGAGTAAAGGAGACACATGAAGAGTTCCATTTTATCCAAATTCTCTAAGGATCAGAGAAACAAAAGTTATAACAACTATCTTCATTGTCACATCAATTTTGATTCAAATTTAATTTGAATTAAATATTGATTTTATTTTGATTTTGTTTTAATCTTCTAAGATAAATTCTTGATCTAATACAAATTTAAGAGTTAAGATTTATGTGTTACCTATGTAATTTCTCCTATTCTTTCTTTATTTTTTTCTTTTTCTTTTTTTTATAATGTAGTGATAGCTCTAATTATGCTATCTTCATAACTATTTGATTTTTAATTTTATCATGAATGATTATATGTTTCATATGATCATATTTATTTAAATTTTAAGATGTGTATTTTATATGATGATATCAATATATTGGTATTTGATGGTGATGAGTCAATATTCATATTTCTATTTGTCACTTTTAATCATGTATTCTTCTAATAAATTAGTGTATAATCTAAATTTATACTTGGGACTCAAGCTAAACTAATTAATCCAAATGTATTTTGATTTTAATATATTTGGAGGAGAGTGCAATTCCAATTATGCTAGAACGAAGCATACTTGGTTTAAGAATTAGTTTGGCTTAAAACTAATACGATCTCAATTGCACTCATGAAGATGTGAACTTGGTTCCACTTTATTTTATTATAGGATACAGGTCAACCAGCCCAATTCATAGCAAAAAAAAAAAATATAGTTTTGATATATTAGCTAATAAAAGAAGATATAAAAAAATTGAGGAGAAAGCTTAATATCTTTTGGCCATATATTACACCAATACCAACTTATAAAAAATTTTTTGGGCTATATATTATGCTAATGTTAACATTGCT